ATCGAGAAATAAACCTACTTACTTTTTTTTATCAAAGCGATCTTAGTGTTTAAATATTTTGAAGTAAATTTATATATGTATTCAATTCTGCAAAAATCGCCGAAATCTTTTTTAATCCTGAAATACAATCGTAAACTGGAGCAGTTATACCTTTTTGATATCTAACGGTGTAAAACAATCAATTTTTTCACTGATGAAACCATTGGTCCCATTTGAGCCCAACATTGCCGTTAGGGAATTATTTAACGCAGAAAAATGCGTCGATGTCAAAAAGAAGTAAATCGTTATCCATCATCCTTGGATCTGCGGACTAAATCGCAGGCATTTTCGCAATTTTGTTTATTGCGGCTGACCGCAGCCGAAAATAAATTCCGTAGGCCGACTCGCGTCACCGCCGTTTCCCTTGCCGACTAACGAACAATAATCCCCCGCATTTTTTGGACCTACAATAATTTATCGCCGCACTTTTCCATCGCCGTTCGGTGCTATCTGTACCAGTGATGTTCTTCAGCTCGCGTATATCTCGCGATCGCACGGAGACGTGTGTGTGTCACTGCGGTATGTGACCCGCGTTAAATTTGGAAGGTGCACTCAGAACGTCGTCGTTCTACCGACGAGTGGCATGCAAACCGATTGTTACGTCGTCGCACCTTTCGAATGTCACGCGAGAAACGACGGCGAGAGACGAAAAACTGTGGCACGCGACATTTTTTTTAATGGATATAGTATACTTAACCCTTAAGAAGGCTTTTAGAAAAATGACAGAATTTTAGATGAAAAAAGGCAATATATTGGTCTATGTGGCTCCGATTAAATAATTTAATTCGAGATACGAAAAATGAATATTTATGTACTTTATCTACGTTACATCAACTGTTACGTTGATTCTACTTTCCGTGATACTACATATTGTTATCTCGGTTAGGTATTCAGTTTGACAAATAAAGGAATTTTGTTAAAATTAATGGAGAACGAGCGACAGAGAGAGTAGACTCTGAAAGCGGTAGAGCACCTGAAATAGTTGCTAGTGTTACTAAAGATAGGGTAAGAGAATCGTTACACTTCGCGAACGCATCGTGTGTTATCCGACGCCATCTCGACGGAATATATATGATGTAATGTTCCCTTCATGTGACACGCTTCGAAATTCCGTCGTGAACTTTGAAGGTTCTATGGCGCGCGCGCGCGCGCGCGTTTGTGTATGTATGCACAACGAAGATACTTTGAGAGTGGCGAACCCGAAATGTTGGAGCGGAAATGTGATTTACGAGACGGAAGCGATTTATTGCCTTTCGTTGTGAGGTTGCATAATATCGTGTCAGCCAATTGAAAGATAGAAGTTACTTATTCTCGGTTTCGGTATACATATGCATTTCGGCTCTCCTGCGCGAAACATGAATTATTTTCCCTTAAGAAAACCCGAGGACACAGAACGGAAGACTATGTCGAATGAAACTGTAAGAGGCTTCTCGATTATGTGCCTCAAGATAAGTATACATGTGTATCTATCGTGATGGTTTTTAATGATTTCTACCTTGCACGGAAAGAATGATTTTGATGAGTATCT